TCTCTAAAAGTCCGTCTGTTTAATATGTACTTTTTTTAGATGAGCTGCTTTAACATCTAAATTCTGTGATGGTGTTTGGGAAGCTGGTTTCCTTTTTTATTTGAATGAAATACCGGGCAAGCGTATAATATATTGTTAACTTCAAAAGAGGACTGAACTGGAGATTGTTCATGAAAGGCACATGTGTATATGACAGTAGTGTGTAATAAATAAAGTTCTCCCATTCTCGTCGGGAATCTACATCTATCCACCTTTCTACAAAATTTTCAATGCATTTTTTTGTAGATTAGCATTTGTATCGTTTTGTTGTTGGACAAAGCTTTTATAGATTGTTGCGCACGTCAGCGAACTTCCGCTGAAAGGTAAGAAGTCTCTTGGTTGTCTTCCATTCAAAGTACTTATACAGGAGAGTTATCCAGATAGTGATACTAACCATAAAACACCCTGACGCTAATTTTAGAAATGTGTTTAATCCTGTAAATATTGGAGCATTCTTGACTGTATCCTATTTCATTTTACTGCCATAAGCCTATATTAAATGTGTCACATTTTTGTTCCTCGGCTCAGTATGTATATATGTTAATTTCCACGCGAAGATCTACAGCTATTAATTTCTTTTTACCAACCCCCCAATTTTACCAAATTATGACCAAATTGTGGCCCAATCATACAAGATTATTAACAGTATTTTACTATAACAATAGTAATATGATTCCGCTTTTATCATGTGGCACATCTTACACACTTTGTGTATTTTTTATCACCACGTTTGTGCGCAGAGATTGTTTTTGGCTTTACCTTTCAAACCTTAGATCAAGAGTACTTTTTGCTGTAAAAACGGCATTTTAGAGCCCTCAACGAGATGCCTTCGCGCACAGAAACCAAAAATGTGCCCCGTGGGCTTCAAAAGTTATTTTTTGAATACAAATTCCAGGGACAGACAAAGGTGCAGGAAGGGGAGGAGGTCGACAGGCTTTTTTAAAACAAGAATCATAGGTCCACATGCCGAAGCATCTGCGTTCAAAAGCTCACCTCCGTTGTCTGTCCATTTCTGTTAGGAACCAGAGTCGTGCATTTTCACAGGCTATTACTACCGGTAATATACATGACTGCCATTCTCCTAATGCATCGATTTCAGTGGCATGTAACTGAAACACTGCACATGGTCTTACCGGGTAGCGTCTTCATTTTCAAGCAAAAATACACAAGTTACATAGAGTGAGAGAGCTCCGTTTTCGTTTTCGGAACGTAAGATAACCCAGACTGTAGCGACGCGGACGAGACGTAATTTGAGTGCAGGGCGACCTCTCCCACAATTTGCTTGCTGGCGTTCAAACAGAACAACACCGTGACTGGCGGATGATGAGAATATGATATGCGAAAGGGCGGAAATAGAGATGCAACGGTCGGAAATGCGTATATAGCCCCCCCTCCTGCTTCGGCGAAATGTAGAAATAGAAACACCACTATGTTGTATTAGAGGTGACCTTCCGCGAAATTCTAAGAGGGTTATCCATTTCAGTGTCAGAGTCCAAATTTCAAACGCAAACCCTTACCATACCTTCAACCATAATCCTACCTTAGTCCTGATTCCATCGTAAATCTCACTGAAAATTGCATTATAATTCATCTTGTGCTCACCGGAATAAATTTGGAGAGCACAAAATGAATTACAATTAATATCCCGGAATTCTGACATTTTTGAAAATTGTGTCTCCAACTTCAACTTCCTAATCGTGAACGTAACCCTCGGGCTGTGGTCCAAAGGCAGCTATGTTACGGATGGTTCTCTTCCCCACTCCTGTGAAAATAACGAAAATGAGGGCCTGACTTGTTTTGGTTATCGAGAATCTAGTCCTAGAAAGATGACCTGAACACCATAAGTTTTCTGAAACCAATAAAACTCTTTATTAGCAATGAAAATCAGGGAACATAAGGAAGTAGGCCTCAGTGTTCTGGCATCTTGCGTCTATTTAGGGTTAAAATGCAAACTTAAGAGCACAATAAACTCTTTCTGAATATTTAACTTGTTCGATATTACCCTCAAAGATGCTCTGGGGACAAAATTGTAGACTATACGACTTGTTTGTATCGGTGACAGAAGAGTCAAAAAGCACCGTACAGGTTGACACGGAACCCCGTTCAAAGTAAAAAACGATTTGCTTTAGGAAGTAGGACAAGAGCTTAGGCAAACGTGCACAAAGTTGGGGGAGAGTGG